TGTGTAAGAGCAGAGGGTAAGGAAAATGTGGAACCAGCCTGAGTCTAATAATTTAGTCCAGTATTTTTTCTTTTCTTTTCCTTCCGTTTACCCACTACCTGAATCTTTCAACTTGATACTTGGATCTGAACCCAGGACTTCTACCTGCAGTGGAAGCTAGCACTGAACTCTCTTCCTTACCCAAACAAGCAGCGGTTGCCTGGCATGTTGTTTGTTTGTTTTACAAGGGTTATTGTATCACTGAACAGACTGTGCAGAAGTGCTTAATTAGTTATTATCACATGCCTTTCCCCTAAGAATTCCTTCCAAGGATCCAAAGTAGTTTTCAAATATTTAGAAGGCTTTCATGAAAAAAGGGAAGAATTGGCAAGCCACTTCCTGAAATGCCCTGAAGGAAAATCTATAAACCGCAGATCTCAAGTTATATTTTAATTGTATTATTGTATTAATATCATTTGTTGATTTTATATTGTTAAGACCACCCAGAGAGCATGTTGCTAACGGGTGGCTTCTAAACTAATTAATTAATTAATATCTGTCTACAGGTCTTGATGATAAGCATGGCAAGCTATGGAGTGAGTTGCCCTGGAAACTTCTAGAATCCAGAATGGATGATCCCACATATACAGGGGTACAGGACAACTTTGGTCCTCCAGATGTTACTGAATTAAAATTCCCATCATCCTTGATCCACTGTTCAAGGGATAATGCTACCTGGAGTCCACTGGAGGGCCAGATCCCCTATCTCTGTCCAACAGGTTCAAAGAAGGCATAGGACAAGTCACAGGTCTGCACAAGTTAGCGCCACCCCTGAAGCCAACTCACCTAATGGCCTGACATGCACCCAGAGTATGCATACTTCGAGCATGTATAAGGAGAGGATCTACACACAGAGAGAGATACAGACACAGAGCTTTTCCTGGCAACAATTAGGATCTGCCCTAATCTGCTCCATATGTCATGAGTGGAGTTGGCTAGAGCTGGGGGTCAGACCAGATGGCCCGGGAGGCCCCTTCTGACTTGCTCTGTTTCTATATTTTGAATTTGCTGAGAAGAGCTGGCACTTACATAGACCATGCATGGCAAATGTCCAGGCAGCAGAACCTGCTTGCACGGTTCTCTGAACACATGGGGCAGGTCCTTGATTCTCCACATGGAAGTGTTTAAAAATGAATCAGCTAAATAGGGTGTCCTGTTGGAGGTGTTGGTAATATTTGTACTTCCTGGTTTGAGTCCAAAGTGGGAGCAATCAATAACTGGGAAATCAGTGCTACATCTTGAAATGTGCCTTGGACCACCCAAATCCTACCCTAATGCCACCAGCAAACTGTCTTCTGTGAAACTTTCTTAGCTGTGCATATTGCTGGTATAGTATAAAGATGCTTCCAGTTAGGATGTTTCTTAGTAGTGGTGATTAAAAGAAATTGCAGCTATTTTCCTTCTTACTGGATTTTCTTGAAGTAATAAAAGGATGGACTAAGGTGGTAGCAAAAACACCAGTAATTCTAAAACAGTCCTATGGGGCCAGAATAATAGCTACTCAAGTGACTAGACTGTGGAGAGAACATGGAAGGGTTATAAATGGAAGACGGTGACATTAGACACTCCTCTACCACCATGAAATGCTGTGAATGAGGAAGTGCCATTGCACAGTAAAAGCACTTTGAGAAGCATCCTCGGGGCATAACACTTTGGCCTCCAGAAGCTGTCTGAGGGAACCATAGGATTCTTCAGGTCAGAGCTCCAAGGTCCTAAAACCTCAAAGCTGGGACCATGAGGATGCATCCCCTCCACACCACCCTGGTACCCGGCATAGAAGGAATTGCACCACCTGCCTTTCCAGGGATACAATTGGGCCTCCAGAGAATAAAACGGTGCTATGCCAGGAGGCAAGGAGGGGAGGCAGATGAAGCCACTGTCTTATTGTCTTACACCAATTCCTCTTCGCACTCAAACTCCTCCTCTTGCCCAAAACAGCTATCTAAAGTCGATATAGCCAGTGTGCTATAGTATTTAGACTGCTGGATGGAAGACCTGGGGCATCAGGGTTCTAGTCCTCACTCAGCCCTGAAGCTCACTGAGAAGCAGGTGATCAAGATCCAGAAGGATCTGGACAGGCTGTGGAAGTGGGTGGGGGGGGGGGACACAGAATGGCTTCCAATGTGGGTAAGTGCAAGGTCTTGCACATGGGATACAGGAATTGGTGTCACAGGTACAGGATGGGGGACAAGTGGCTGGAGAGCAGCACTTGTGAAAGGGATCTTGGGGTACTTCTCGACAGCAGGCTGAACATGAGCCAGCAGTGTGACATGGCAGTTAAGAAGGCAAACATGGCTTTCAGATCTAGGCATGTGTTGATACCACCCTACACAATTCTAGTGTGCCCACAACTGGAGTACTGAGTACAGCTCTGGGCTCCACATTATAGAGATGACATAGCTAGGTTAGAATCAGTTCAATGCAGGGTCTCAAGAATGGTAGCTGGGTTGGGAGAGGTGACATATGAGAATTGATTGAGGGAACTGGGTCTTTTCAGCCTGGAGGAGATTCCAAAGTGATCTTTTAGTAACTTACAGATATGTGAGGGGATGTCATGTGGAGGAGCACTGTGAGCTGTTTTTCTTTGCAGTGGAGGGCAGGATGTGTTCCAGTGGGACAAAGCTCAGGGAACCAGGTTTCAGGTTGGATGTCAGGAAGTACTTCCTGATGGTTAGGACCCATAAGATATGGAATGGGCTTCCAAGGGAGGTGGTTAAGGCCCCAGCAGTGAGGGTGTTCAAGGAAAAATTGGACAACCACATGTTGGGGATTACATGAGTGGAGCCAGGGTCAGACTAGATGGTCTGGGAGGCCCCTTCTGACTCGCTTTGTTTGTATGTTTCACTGGGTGACTTCGGATGAGTCTCAGCCTAGCCAACCTCACAGGTGGTTGTGCTTAAGATGAGCTGGAGAGAAAGAGCACCTTGTAAGCGGCCTTGTTTTCCTTGCAAGAGGCAGAAAAGTGCAATGCAAAATAATAAAAAGAAGTGCACAGGGTGAGGTACAGGAGCAGCAGTGATCACGCCCACCGCACCCTCGCTCCATACACTGGATGCACATAAAGTCTCTGAGTTCAGAGGTGTACATGCATCTGCCCCAGAGAACACTGGGTTGCGCTCTAAGTCTCATTACATAAGCAGCCATTACTTTATTTAGTTCAGTATTGTCCATGGTGGCCAGCAACAGCTCTGTCTGGAGACACTGGGGACTGCACCCAATGCATTTGCTCTGTCCCAGTGCACCCAATGTGGGGAGAGCTTCAGAGAGTTGGGTCAGTTGTGAATTCTCTACAGCTTTCCAAAATTTTCTGCTACCCATTTTCTGTTAATGCTGATATCCGCCTCCTCATCCTCAGCTTTTCTATTTAGCAGCTACCCAAGGAGACACTGATTGGTTAATTTCACCGCAAGAGTATCATGGCCCTATCCAATTAACAGGCTGGCTTTTTGAACAAGCAGGGGACAGAGGACCTGCCTGTGCATCAGCTATCAAATTGGAAATGAATGAAACAGAATAAGTAACATCTCTCCCAAGTTGCATCTCTTGTTACGGAGAGATGCTTTAGTAGGCAAACAAATAACAGAAAGACCTGTATAATGAGCCTGCCTTTAATGGGAGAACAGGAGGAAAAGTTAATTTTCAAATGGAGTATCCTGAACAAATAAAATATTTATCAGCCATAAGAGATAAGGTCCTAATATACTCCTAACAGCAGGAACACTGTAGGAGTCTGGTAAATTAAAGGAGAAAACTCCAAAGAACTTTGATCACAACCCACTTATTCTACAACAGTCCTATGGGCCAGAAAGAGATTCACTTAAGTAAATGGACTGTGGAAGGCACAATGGCAGTCAATTATTTTATTGTTCAGGTTGCCACTTTTCATTAAGAGCACTGTGTTATAGTTCTTGCTTCCTATGTCTTTAATAACTGGGGTCAGGCAGACATTCAACAGGTTCATTTGTCCACATAGGTCTGCAATGGCAGGAAGCATAGAAACACTATGGAATGGGTGTAGGAAAGAGACACAGGAAACTTTTCTTCCTAGCAAATCATCCCTCCGGAGAGAGACCAGCTGCCCTCATACACTCTTCCCCAAGCTGAGGAGAAACTCTGAATTGGAAGTTTATTTTCCCAGTGTGCACTTAAACCGTTAATACCAGAAGCCACATCTGCTAAGCAGTGTAGGAAAAAAGCATGAATTAAAAAAAAAAAAGAATTTTAGTTGAAACCATCCTTGAGATGGAAGCCAAAAATGTAGAAAAGCACAAATGAAGGAAGATGACCTTAAAAAAAAGCCTGAATGGTCTTTCTTGCAATTTGTCTTGACTCCTTTTAATTTGTTCTGTGCATATTAAAGTGGAGCCGGTGGCGACGGAATTGCGAGGAGGAAGCGGGCCGACCCAGACTCGTCCGATTGTTTTTTTTCACAACAGGAAATGAACCGCTATTTTGACAATATGGATTAAATAAGGGTGGTTTTAATGACATGCCAAAAAAAAGGCTTTTGCTTTTTAACTAATCCCCACTCCTGCCGCCGCCAACACTCGCCTCGCTTCTTCCAAGAGCCCAGTAATTGAGATCACCTGGGATCCGTCTGAACGTTCAGTCCCTCTTTCGGGACTAAACTGCAAATGAAACATAGCCCGTGCGGATTCTATCGCGCGCTGAGATTTACACAAAAGGCGACGAGGCTGCAGCGGCGCTGGGGAGTAAGTGCGAAAGGCTAGCGGATTGAAGCTCCTCTCTGCAAGTGCGTGCACGTGCGTTACTTTACAGAATGCCTGTTATTTTTATTTTTATAAAACTTTTTCCCGCCTACTCACCACGGCTACATGCGCAACGAGAGCTCGCAACCTGAGCGCCGCCGCCGCCGCGCCCCCCCCCCCCTCGTCCCGGGCACTTTTCGATCTTCCCGCAGCCCGGGGGGGATGAGCTTTGCTGCCCCCGCCTCTCTTTACCTTGCCTCCGCGGGATGTTTCTTCTGTTAGCTGCTAGGCGCCCGGCGCAGGAAACCAGCAAGAGCAAAACCAGGCGGGTGGAGCTGCAAGGAGATCGGCGGTGTAAATCCATTTGGAATCGGATCGGACCGCTTCCAGCTGCGAAATATGATTGGAATCAAAGTTTGGGCAAGTTGAACCGAGCGTGTTCGAGGCTGGCTTTGCAATCCGAGACAATGACACTCAAGCGAATTTAGGGATTGTGAACGTGGGGAGGAGCTTTGCGGTTTGCGGGGGGAGAAAAGACCCGCAAATCCTGAGTCTGAGGAAATCAGACAGTGCTAAGTGGGGCTGGCACGAAGCAAGCACAACGGTTGTTTTGTTTTGTTTTACACACGCCACAGGGCGGAGACCTATCCTTTGATGGGATTAGACGAGTCCCCCCACCCCGCCGCATGCAAGATGCGCAATGACTACAAGGAATAGATGAGGCATCTCGAATTGTCATCCCCCCCTTTTTTTTTGAAGATCTGATCTAGGAGGAAGGATTCTGCGAGACGCCCCCCCCCCCCCCCCCAAGAGATCCACCGACGCCCCATGCGGAGCGCAATCGCCGTGCCCCGGGCAGGGGAGAGGCGGCCGACCACTGCGCGCGGTGCCACAGTGCACGGCACGACGCCAGCTTCTGAGCGCGCAAAAGGACGGCTCCCTCCCCTAGGAGGCGCTGCCGGCGTCGCCGGCCCTCTCCGCGCTGAACCTGCGACCTCCGGTGGCAGCCGAGCCCAGTCCAGGGGGCTTCTCCGGGAGGCTCGACCTCAGCCAGCGAAGGCTTTGCCCAGATTTCTCCTCCGTGCCTCGACTGCCGGAGGCCCAAACCCCGTGCAAGAGAATAACCCAGCTGTTTCATTTGAAACTTTCCAACGGTAAACTATTTAATATATATTTAAAAAATAATAATACACCCACACCAACGTCATCATCTTCCACTGTATGTTTGTGGCACAATGCTTTTACCCAGTTCAAATAGGACATAAGCTGGAACGTAATGAGTCTTGGCCAAGGTTTCACGCGCAATCATGGAACAACTTAAATTTATTGAATTTATGTCCTGTCTTTCTCCCAGGGTGCCCAAGGCATACATACTCATCCTTTCCATCTTATCCTCACAACAACCCTATGAGGTAAGCTAAGCTTGGAATCAATATGCATCCTGAGCCAATAATCCATGTTGATTGGCGCTCATGAAAGACAATTGCCCCTTTCTGTAACACTTGTAGCCAATTCCCATATTACACATGATATTAAGATGTTTTTGAGCAATACTTGCATGATTTGTGATAACTGTTAAAATGGAATAGAAAGCAGACTTTAAAACTTTTAAAAAACTACAGGCCAAGATCGGTTTTGTTTGTGCAGTACAGACATAGCCATTGCAAAGGCATTAAACAGCTTAAATTCCAACACTTATGTGGACTGTATAATAAAGACACTTTTTAGAGGCAAGTTATTTTTCAATAAGCTAGTTTTCCTTTAAATAAAAGACAACTATTCACCCTTTGCATTTTGGAATGAAATTATAGCCTTTCTGCCAAGAAACCTGCCCAATACTATTTCTTCAGAAAGTGCAGATTACTTCCCAAAGGATATTATTAGAATCATGTTATCTGCCACTTGATCTACAATATATTCTGTTTCCCCAATTACAGGAGATCTGATATAAAATGCTTCCTATAAACTAAAGAAATCACAAGCAGCTGCCATCTCTCCCAGGCTTGCTTTGAGGCTCTGTCCACAGACAAACAGGAGGCAGCAGAAATGAAGTTGCAGAGTCTCCAAGGTTTCAGAATGGTATCTCTTCAGACTGTGATATTACATTTTTTAATATTTGCCATGATTGAAAAAAGAATCTGCAAATAGAAACCTAGTATGGCAAGGAGCAGGACCAAACAGCAACACCCTTTCCCCTTTCAGCCTAATCTAACTTATAGGGTTAATTTTCTGAGAATAAGATAGAAGAAGAAAGCCTTACAGGCCATCTTGTTTCTTGCAAGAGGAAGAAAGACAGAGCATGAATGTAATATAATAATCTGCCACTGTTTTACCTATGTGGGGTGATCTTTCTTGGGGAGGAGAGGTGCAGAGAATTTAAAAATGTTCTTTCTCACCTGCTCTGAAGTCATACCATCTATTCAACCACCAGGCTGAATTGCACAAGTAGATCACACCTGAGAGGTTATATTGCAGCAGGAGTTGTTCCCATTGTCAGGGAGCTTTGGAGCAGTTGCAGCCTGATACAAAACACACTTACTTGGAGACAAGTCCCACCAAACTGCTCAGGATGTGCACCTGATAATATACTTAGCCATGAAGTAAAATAACAAAGTGTTGCATTACCTCCAGCCCTTATACTTAGGCTTCTTTTATTTATCTTTGCTTTAAGCCTGAGGAAGCCTGTAGTAAACATGCAGAATCATGATGCCGCTCAAAAGCAGACCTTCGCCCTTTTCCTAGGCTCCAATAAAGCATCACATCACAGGTGCTCTGTGTTTCTCTTGCCTGTAAATACCTCTCTGCAGTACTCGGCACTGTTAGACAGATAAGCCTTGTCTGCCTAACCTTACTGGGCAATATTCCACTCTGACTGGTAGTCACATAAATGCATAATTGGTTCCACATCATAGCATTCCTGCTAGCAGAGAGTCCCTTGTTCTTTTCATTGGGATGGGGCCAATTTTTTGGCACCTATTTATCTCCCCACTCCTAATGAACATAAAACACAGAAGAGTGCTGAGCATAGGTAACTGAAAGGGAAATTCTGTGAAGTTTAAGCAAAATGGGAATAGAATAGCAAAACAGACTTTTGTCCAGCTTTCTATGGCCATGATGACATGTTCCAATAAACACTAAAATGCATTGATTCATCTGCTACATGATGGATTGTTTGCTATAATCCATCCCTTCTATACCTGTTCTTCCTCCATTTTTGCCAGGTCTAGATATTAAAAGAACCCTTCCCAAACTGGTGGAGGCTGGGAATATTCCCATACCCAGCCCATATGCTCTTATCAGTTATGCAGAAGGTCTCTATTTTTCAGAGGTCCCACAAGAACCATGGAGTTCCGCTACCCTCAACCCATCGTGCCTTCTTTGATAGTGACCAGCAGGCTTTTGACTAAATTTGGATTTGGCCTTCATTGACGATTCTGGCAAATGAGCCATCAACCCCTTTTTGGGAGGAGCAGGAATGCAAGAAGAGTAGAATTTGAATCATAAGTACATGTCCTTGGAAATAAGCCCACTGAAATCAATGGGGCTTATATCCAGGTTAGTATAGTCAGAGAATTGAATTGTAAGTGCCCAAGTGGATACTGAGTTAAGCAGATAAATGAAGTTTAATCTTCCCAGATAGAAGCTGAATCCACTCTGGCCATGTAGACTAATATAGAAAGATCTATGAGGATTAATGAAGAAGAGGACAGGAGGAGGTGAGGGACCAGAAGTAGCAAAGGGAGGAAGAGCACCTTCTGTCTGGTGCAGACAAGCCCTGCAGGTGGCCACTGAGCCAAAGGAAAAAGGCAGACCAAATTTCATGAACAGCTGATGAGCTGGTGACACTTTCTATTAGCTGTGCCTTTTCAGAAAACTGGCTTCAGGTCTTGAATAATTTTTCCCCCCAGGGATAGGGTTTGCATTCTGCCCTTACAGAATTAGTATGTCAGGAAAAATAGTTGGTGCACACTTTTCTTTCTGAGTTTTGTACATGCAAGAAGTTTTCCATTTCATCTTGCAGGGAATGTTTGTTTACAGAGGAGAATTCAGTCATAAAGCTCATATCCCCCACCAGCTGGTACTGTCTGATGAAGCCAGTCAGAAAAGAGTCATATCTCCTTTTTTGTGGAAAAAGATGAGTACAGCGAGATGTTCTGTTTGAGAAGGGAGGTGGGGGGAACTTTCCTTAATCTAATGTCTTTGGAGGCAGGTTAGTAGAGGAGGTGCCTGGAGTTACTTTACCAAGTCAGATCATCTATGCCAACTTTTTTATATGGAGAGTCCCTTCTGGGGAGAAAACCAGAAAGGATTAAAAGACTACAAAAAACAAGTCCTTGAATTTGTTCCTCCTTGGCCTACAGTTCCTTGGCACTGAGTTGGGCAGAAACTAAGGCAATCAATCTTTCCTAAACCAGGAGTAGTATTTGATTTTGGTGAGGCTCAGAGCAATTGTTGTTTTTTTCTGTTGTCCACTCCTGCTGGTTGCACCCAGGAGGCTCATAGAAGGGGGTGTTGGTGGTAGTACCTGCCTGGCTCTCCTGAATTACCCATAATTCCAGATGACCCAGAAGAGCAGCAAGAGTCGCAGTGGTGTGGCAGGTGTCCCTTCTGCCCTGTCCATGACCCAATCTCAGCTCTGGCTTATTTTGCCTCCTGCCCCCAGAACAGCCATTGGCCTACGCCCACCTCCACCTCTCTGCAAGAGAGAGGGCACTTACTTATGTGTAATTGTAAGATGCCCATATACCAATTCTCTCTGCAAAGATTGCAAACTGGAACTGGTGCTGAGATGTCAGTCCTGTCCTCCAGATACCGCATGCACAGACCCACTGAATTATTTCACTGTGGACCCTTCCCTTGTCCCTGGTGTCCCCTCTTCTTCCTGTTGCCAAAGGGAGTGTGTCGAGAGCAGAGGGAACCACTGGCACTCATGGGGATGAGTGCTGAGCCTCCTCCCCCACACACACTTTTAGGAACACAGCGGTGCCAACCCCGTCATGAAGCAGCCTCCCCTGCTTTCCTCCCCTCTCATGGTTCTGACAGAATAGTCAAGGCCTCCCTTTCTCAGACCATCATTGCAGCTAATGCTGAGCAAAATAGCTTACTGATCTTGCCTCATATTTTCATACAGCAGGGAGAGGACTTCACTCAATATTTTGAGGAAAGGGGCACTGGTAATTGACTGGTAATTCATAGTCAAGGCCAGTCCTATCATCAGGTAGAGTAAGGCAGTTACCTTGTTTGACAGATGCAGGGAGGTGGCAACAAGGTATTGGATGAGAGAGCCTGTTGCCTTAAGATGTTGTGAAGAGCACTGGCCTTCACTGATGTTGCAGGAAGATTCATTTGCCAGTCTAGTCAGCTTTTGTACATG